ACGGTGTCAAATGCCTCCAAGTTCAGCAACACCCAGACTTTGCACGGGTTTCCCGTTTTCAGCCAGATGTTTAGCATCACTCAACACAGAAGGCATAAATCTCTCTCTTTTCTTGGTAAAATCAGAGGAAATGTCTGGCCTCGGCTAACAAGATAACGTTGTTTATCCACTGAAAAATAAACCGATACTTGTCCAAAGGCCTGACCGAATCCCCAGCAACGTGAGTCCGGGCCGCCGAAGCTAATGAGAAACACCCGAGGCTCCAGTGATAATGGCGGCCCACTCGGGGCTGAGTGCCGGGCACCCCCCCCACCAAGACTCCTGGAGCTTTGAGATTTTATCGCCCAAGTAATAAGCCTCGGGTAATGCCCTTCATAAAACACAGGAATTAAATTGACTGATTTCAAACCAGGGTATTTTTTTCATTAAAGAACTCTATTTAGTTTACCTTAAAAGCCCATTTTCAGTGGAAAGAAACAAAAAACTCACGTAATGATTTGTGAGCCCAGAGCAGGAACTGGTGGCTGCTCACGGAAGAAGGGACCCGGGCACAGAGCCTGCCTGGGGCTTCTCACCTGCTCCAGGAGCCCGATCTGGAACCGGGAGTCCTCCTACCAAGTGGGGTCCCTGCCGCTCACTTGCCTGGGGCCCTTCCATCTGGGCCAAAGCAATTTAGTCACTTTTATTTTTTTAGTCACTTCTTAAAAGTGAATGGTCACCCTGTTTCCCTTTTGGAATTTCAAAGATATTTTAATCCTAATTTTTCACATGGCTCTTTGAAATATTTTTGAGCAAACATTTTTAAAGCAGTATTCTAGCAAGAATCCTTTATCCCCTAAAAACATAAGCATTTTTCCTTTTCCTAGAAATCTTCTTCCCAAATGCTTGTGCCCCACATAAATGAATCATGAACAGATCTCCAGCTGGAGCTGATATTATCCGGGTTCTGAACACTCATAGCAAATATGCGATTAGAAGGAAAAAAAAAAACCCCACGGAGATGCCCATTTTCCTAAGTAGTCAGTGAATAGAATATTCAGCAAACGAAGCTTGGGTAATCATAAGCTACACTCATCCCAATCTAGCTTGGGGTCCCCATTATATTTCTCCCATTTTAGTTTATATTAAACTAGTGGTAGAATGCTATCATTAGACTACGGTAAAAATGGCCTTTTTGATGACAACGCTGGTGCTAGAAGCAGTCAGCTACACAAGGAACAGCCAGCCCGTCCCGGGGGGTGGGGCAGGGTGATGATCTGCCTTTTCACCCTGCAGCAGACAGCAGGAATATGTGTCCACAGTGTTCATGGCCCGCCTGCCCTGCCGGCCCCCCTCTGCCCAAGGTAGCCAAGGAGTGGTGAAGGCCGAGGGAGGGCTGACCGGGAACCACCAGGCCCTGGACACAGCCCCGTAGGCCCTGCTCATCCCCAAAGAAGCAGGGGCTGGCAAGGCTTTCTTGCAAATGTGATTGCACAGGGTTGAAAAACCTATCTGTAGCAAACAAGCGTCACTGCCGTCCCACCGTCATCCTGGCCTCGGTCTGCCCGGCAAGATTGGCTTTATTTATAGTGAATTGTGGCTTGTTAGCTCCCTCATGAACTGGTTAACTGCATGAGGTCATAGCACTCTGAAACAAGCATTATATTCCATATTTTAGAAGGGAAAAATCCCACACAGACCTGACCTAAAAGACCAACTCTCACAAACCCCGTGCAACCCCTGAGACTAGTGAAGGAAGGAAAAACAGCGAGCATGGGCAGAGGTGCCCACCCAGCCCCCCACTACTCCCCTGAATTGAATTCACAGTCCTTCCAGTCCAGTGACTAGAGCCAAGCACCTGCCCGGGGAAGACAGGGCCAGGCTACCTCGTGAAGAGACACGGGGCCAAGGGTCTGAAGCTCCACAGAGAAGCCTGTGGTGAAGACCCCTCCGACTGTGTGGCCTGCCTGAGAATACTTGCCTTGTATAGGACTGACATCGAAGTCAAGGCCTGAGCTAGATCAGCTGGGCTCAGGAGGGAGCTCATGGGTTAATCTATCCAAACTCATGATCAAGGAGGCCGGATCAGAACCAGCCCAGCGTCTACAAGTCCCTTTGGACTCAGGGCCCTCGGTGGGACCGCCTGGGGTGGGCCTCTCCTCACCTGGGGGGTGGATCAGAAGTACCATCTGGAGTGGCCCATCTGGGTCTTAGAAATGGTCAGAAAGCAGGAGAAATCCTGCCTCTCTTCACCCTGGTCCCGAGGGGGGAGATTTTCCACAAATTATATTGTTCTCTGGCAAGCAAAATTACAAGGTACCAGTGGCCAAGCTCAACAGTTCCATATCACCGCTCTAACTCTGTGCTGTTCTCAGCAAGCCTTCAGGGTGTCCCCAATCAGATAATTCTGGGCTTTTTTCCCTGAGAGAACCCCAAATGGTGGGCACTGGGAAAGCCGTCAAATGCTTACCTGAGGCCAGCTGATAACGTTGTGTCCCACAAACAAAGAGTGTGGTCACTCTTCCCCACCTTCGCCCGGAGGGAGCCTAATGTAACGTATAGACCCCAGAAATGAGCCCCGCACACCCACCCTCCTCCATCTGCAGAGGCTGCTTTGGGATCTCCACTGCCAAAAAGCCAGACCAGATCAGACCACAGAGCCCTTCCAGCCCTCTGACCTGGCCATTCAGTCCTGTCTTTTTTCCTGAATTGACTGGGCTAATTATTAGATCTATCACAAACCCACTGAAATAGACTTAGCCCAGGAGTCCCCTTCCTTCCAAGGGGGCCCCACCACAGCAGGTCAGCCTGCTTGGGGCGGTGGGGCTGGGGGGTGATGATCCTACTCTGTCTTCTCTGCCCTAATATGATCATCCTAGCCATGGTGCCGCCACCGCCCTCACCCCCACGTGTACACAGAGTCAGGCAGTTGTAGGGATCCCTGGGCCCACCATTGCTCTACTAGGACCTAGGATTTTTTCAGAGAGCCTTGGGAGATTCGGGCCAGGGCCTGGTGGTGAACAAAGAAGAGAGAGAAGGCCATTTCACAGAATGAAAGAAAGAAGCCAGAGGGCCCCAGACAACCCAGGAAGCAGTTTCCTGAGTCACACCTGCAGGCCCCCTTTACCTAGGACTCTGTATAGGCCTTCCAGAGTGCTGTGCTTCTTTGGATGAGGACTCTGTTCAATGACGGGTCTGTCCTGATTCGGGGGAGGGGGCTTCCAGACCAGGAAAGCAAGCTTGGAAAATCACAGTAAATTCTGGGTTGTGTGTATGTGTATGGGGGGGGGGGGAGCTAATTGTTTGGCCTATTGTGTGGCAGATATTTCTCTGTAGCCTGTCTAGACAGCAGACAATAGATGAAACCAGCCAGTGGTTGCCGACATTTTTAGAGACTGTAATATCACTTAGAAAAGTAAGATGAATGATATGAAAATAAAACCCAGCCTGGCCTGCCAATATCACGGCAGAAACCTGAGCAGAACCACTCCCAGCAATTCAGAAAGGACAATGGCGGGTGGGCCTGGCTTGCACCCCCACTCCAACTCACCCTCTTCCAGCTCTGGCCACAGAACCCCATCAGAAAGTCTGGGCAGTCTGCTTTTCCTTCCTCCTATCCTTGGGGATATGCACCCTCCAAAGCCTACCTGTGCCACAGACAGGACTTGTGGCCCCCACCTCACCCCAGTACAGGACACTTGTTAGGCAGAGGTGCAGTTTCAAACAGCCACCATGAAAGTCAAACGAGGGTAAATGGCCTTGGACCATTTATTCCTTCACAAGAAGGCAAAAACCTGTCCCTGCCGCCCACACCAGAAGATGAGCTGGGGGTCCAGTTTGCAGAGGGACTAGTTTTTAAATACCACTGACTTCTTACTGACGGGGTGGGGTGGAGGGAGGGAGGGTGGCCTTTTCTGTCAGAGCAGATTTCTATAAATTGAATCATTCACCAAACTCAAAAACCTTTCCCGGTCTCCTGGACGACCAAGTGCAGAGCCCTGCTGGGCAGCCACAGTCGCCAGCAGAAGCATTTCCTACTCCTAGGGCGCCATCTTTCTCCAAGTCAGCGAAGAGCTTGGGGATCACAAGATGGCTCACACAGAGTCTTCCACTGTCCCTCTCCCTCACCAATTCAAACAGATCTCTTGCTCCCATGGGGCGGGCATAGGCCCTACACATGCTGCTCAGGTGATCTGTGGGACAGCTGCCCAGCTTCACCCTGGCACAACCAAGGCCCGGGAGCCCAAGGGAGAGCCCATCGGACTGGGCTGGGCCCCAGGCTCCCCTTCTTCTAAGGCCACAGGGGCCACCCAACAATGCCTCTGTGACCCCACTGACCCAGCACACTTTGGGCAGATACCATGAGACTCCCTTCTCCCTTCTCCATAAGCTTTTCAGAGCTAGGCCTCTTTTCCACACTGGAAACAGTTCCTTTGTCTTCATTCCCATCATGCCCAGGTGACGATCCTGCTTTTGTCCAGCTTTCCTCTAAGAAACACCCCCCCCGGCTTCTTTCTGGGTGACCCCATTGTCAGGACCACCAATGCCAGTAGCCTTAGACAGACATGCCCCTTGGTACCTCCATTTAGAAGGACAAGAAGCCTATGAGCACAGGCAAGAGCCACAGGGAATCACGTGGAACTGGTGCATCTGACGGAAGAGAAAGAATCAATTTTCTGCAGAACGTCCCCATTAAAAGTTTGTCTTCACAGGAGCCGGCATCAAACTCCCCAATTAGACCTCATGCCTCCAAGCCTGTCCCTGGTGGGAGGTCAGGAACCTTCCGCAGGGAGATGGCTGTGAGGCCCAGTGACAGCTGCGCGGAGCCATTAAGCCGTGGCCTTCCAGGGGAGACCTCGTGCCCTGCCCAGGAGGCGGCCAGATCCCCACAGAAGCGGATGCAGGTGCACTCCCCGCTGCCTCCTGGGCCAGCACCACCTGCCCCTGGCACCAGTCCCTCACAGGCGAGAACCCTGTCTCTGAACTATGCCCTGGGGTAGAGGGAGGAAAGACACGGTTACCTCTCCAACATCGTAGATCCAGATGCGGCCTTCGGAATCCCCCACGGCCACCTCCTTGCCAGTGTGGGCCCAGCGGACACGGTTGAGGGCAGAGGCCCCCTCCACGGCTACACTAGCCGTTGGGACCTGGCGAGGAAGGGAGATAAAGTTCAGATCTCTGAATGTGCCCTTCAGGGTCAGTCTAGAAGAGCACCCCCCCTCCCCCTCCCCAACATCAACACCACCTGAGGGGGGGCTGGCAAATTGTTCTTCAGTTCCATACTCCGAGGCTGCCAAGCCCCAAGGAGAGACCTGGGTGGGGAGGGAGGGAATCTCTCTCTCTTTCTCTCTCTGTCTCTCTCTGTCTCTCTCTCTCTCTCTCACACACACACACACAAGCACATGCATGCTCACATACAAACATGAATATACAATACACACAGGCACATTCACACACATCCTCACACACAAATACACACGAGCACATTAATACAGATGCACAGTCAATTCACAGTCACATACGCACATGATTATATACATGAGCACATTCACACATATATACTCACATACAGACACACATACATATTTATGTACATATATATACAGACCTGTCCATTCACGCACATACTCCTACACACACACAAGCACACACATACATACACACCCAAGGACAGGAATCCATATATTCACAGATGGAATCGAGCACCCACACACCTACACCCCGATTTTCCAGTTATACAGCTAGCCCCACCAAAGCATGCTTCCAGAGGGCACAGCAGCATGGCTTGTGAGCCAGGGGAAGTCAGGGTTTCAGAAATTACAGCAGATTGAGGTTGCTATCGGAAAATTTAAGGTCAAAGCAGAATTCATCTAAGAAATCCATTTGCATGTGATGTCAAGTCACGTTTGAGTAGGGAAGAGCTGAGGCAAGGGAAACCCAGAGGAGTGCCCTGAATCTCCTCACCAGTGTGGTCCCCAGTGCCAGGGCCACATTCCAGTGGCCACGCTTTCATGGCTGCCCAGGTGGGAGGAAAACTCCAGTTTGCTTTAGCTAGCAGGTTTCGGGTCCAGACTGCTCCAGCCAGGGGCTGCTGGGAGGGAGACCCCACAGCCCCCGACCAGCCAAACTGAGTTTCCTTCAGGAGGCCCAGGGACTGCCCGGGGTCATCTTTTCAGCAGCGACAGCAACTGTAGCACCAAATACCAGCAGAAAGCCAGTGTTTGCAAAGAAATATTGAAGCGAATGGGAAAAAGCAGGGACTGGGAGATCTCCACTTGCTCACTCCAGCCCAGTCTAGGACCTAGGACCCAGTGAACCCAGTAGCTTGCATCGGGGTAGAGCCTCATGGGCAATTGTGTTATTCTGTGAATTAAAACCAAAGAGACTTAGCCCGTGCTTGTTGTGAAAGGCTCAATGATTCACCAAAAAGGCAGCCTGGGGTGGTGGGGAGACCCAGACTGATGCGGACCGGGCGAGTCATTGGGCGTCTCAGTGTGGGGATCCACCTACCTCGGGAATGAGGCACCGGGAACTCGGGATTCCAAAGAAGTTATATCAGGGGTCCAAGGGAAAGTTTTTTTGTGGATTTGGTTTTTTCTTTTCTTTCTCTTTTTCTTTCTTTTTTTTTTTTTTTTTTAGATTTTGTTATCTGGGGCAGCTCTCTGTGAGGGGGAGTGGGAGGGATACTGGGAGAAATGATGTAAAAGAAAGCCATCAGTAAAAAGGATTTCTCCTAAAAAAAAAAAAGGATAAAGCAACTGCCACGGGGTGGGTATGCTCCACTCTTTTTAAAAAGAAAGAAGAGGCCCCTTCAGCTTGCTTTACATGACTGAGCCTGCAGTTTGCAAGGTGCGTCCCTCCCTAGACGGGCGAGGGGATCTGCTTCTGTCCAGTCTTTCAGGAACGGCCTCAAAGTCATCCCCACCAGTTGGAACGATTGTTTTTATCCTATCGCACCTATTGGAAGTGTTACATGCTGACGCGTCTACACATGACCAGGGGCAAATTTTGGGGAGCCCCAGCATGCTGCCGGCCGGGGCCTTGGGTGACTGTTCCAGGCCTGACTTTATCGGGAATGAGAGCAGTGGAGCAAACACCAGGCTCTCTGACAACGAAATCCTTCCCCATAACTGGCGGTTTTTAACCCATTCTGATTTTCCATCTGGAAGGAGAGGGCCGAGGGCCTGGGGGCGGGCAGAACCTTTTCCCTCGCTTTTTTTCGTTGTTTAAGCCCAGAATTTCGCAGGGCCGTCTTTGCAATGACCGGGAGCATTTAATTCCAAACAACAGGCTTGGAATTTTAGGCAGAATCCGTGCCCTGAACAAAGGGGACGGTGGAAAGCGAGCGAACGTGGCCGGGACACCTCGGGAGCAGCCTGGCTCCCCGCGGCACGGGAGGCCCGGTGTGGGGCGCACACCACATGGGGGGCGGGCGGGGACGTGAAGCGGAATCTCGTTCTTGGACTGATCCAGAGCTCGGCCGGGGGTCAGAAAGGCACCGAGTCGGCCGCGTGCATGAGTGTGACTGTGCGTGTGACTGCTCCATCCTCATCCGCGCTCCAGCCAGCGCGCCCTTAACTCCCCGGGTGGCGAGGGAGCACGGGCAATGTCCCGCGGCCTCCGTCCCAGCCTGCTGCTGCGGCTGCTTGGCTGGAGGGAGGCGGTTGGGGATGGGGAGACACACCGAGAGGCCCCTCCCGGAGCGCCCTGGGCTTGTCTCTTGGCCCAGAGAGAGTGAAGGGGAGAGGGCGCGGCTTCTCGAGAAGTTGTATCTCTGCGCCCCCCCACCCCCACCCCGCAACAGCTTTCTAACAATCGTTGAAATTGTTCAATCGCGCAGCCCTCCACCAGCCGAGGGAGGACTGGGGCGTGCAGGGCAGAGGGGCTCCTTCCGCGGAGCCAACCCCAAGGCCCCTTGGGCCACGTCTTTGGGAGCCGACGGCCGCCCGGCGGCCCGGCCCGACTCCGACTAGCCCCCCAGCTGGAGGGAGCTTAAGGCTAATTAAAAGCGCTGAGCCCTTCCTGGCCCCAGCACTTCAAAGGCCTCTTTGCAAAGGCCCCACCCCCATCCACCCCACCCCCTTTGCTCCTCCTCCTCCTCCTCTTCCTCCCCTTCCTCTTCCTCCTCCTCTTTTCCCCTTCTCACCTGTCCCCTCTGTTATCGCAGCTGATTCAGCCCGGGACCCGGGCAAAGAGGCCTTTTGCCCTTGACCCCGAAGGCTTATGACAGCCCAGGCACAGGCTGGTGGGAGGGGGTGAGAGGTAGAGGGAGGCAGCCGAGCCTCCTACAGAGGTCAGGCTGCCCTGGTCGAGGGGCGAGCCCCTCCCAGAACCCTGCCTCAAATTCCTGTTCTTTCAGCAAGCCCCCGGCGGCCTGCCCGGCCTGGGGTAGGGTGTAGGGGTACCCCGTAGCCTCAAGGGAGAGAGGAGAACGAGAGGGTGCTGCTCCCCCTCCCCCACCAGTGTCCCTCCCCATCCCGTGGGGCCTTGGGGGCAGCTCTGACCTCAGTGTCGCTGTTGAGGTCCCACAGATCCAGGCGGCCCATGCCGTCCACGCAGGCGAAGAGCGCTGGGTGCGCGGGGGACCACATGACGTCGTAGACATAGTCGGCGTTGTCCTCAAAGGAGTAGAGAGCCCGGTTGTGCTGTGGGCGGGCGGAGACAGAGGTGGGGATGCTGGTAGAGGTAGGGTGGGGTGGGGTGGGGTGGGGCGGTGGGGCAGACAGGAGGGGAGCGGGGAGCGCCCGGGGACTGGCGCTCCGACGTACACAGCCACACACACGCGCACGGAGGGGCACACACACACACAGTGACAGATAGTGTGACACACTCATCCACCCGGGCACACACACACACACACACACACACACACGGTCACACCCCTCCCCCCCCCAGACTCGCTGGCGCTGGCGCCGCCCCGGGCCCCCAGACGGTCTGGACGAGTCTAATTAAAAACTTTGCACGTTTACAAAGCGCCATAAAACTTCCCGAGATGAAAGTCCTGGCCGGGCCCGCTGGGGGGGGGGGGGGGGCTTTCAGGCAAGGGGGGGCGGAGACCGGGACTTAATGTGCCCAGGAGCAAGCCAGCGAGACACTGGAGGAGGGACCAAAGGAGAGATGGAGAAGGGTGCTGAGCCCGGGGCGGGGGTAGGCAGAGATGAGGCTGATGTGGATTTGGAGAGATGGCATTGCAGGGAGGAGGCCAGTGCTTTGGGAAGCCAGAGGCAGAGAGGAGCGCTAGCGGACCTGGGGGACCCCGACAATGAAAGAGGGCCACGGGTTACAGGTTAGAGGCATTCCTGTGGGGACCCCCCACCTCAGGCAGGGCTGGGCTAGGCAAGACTCCGCTCTGCGTCCCTAGAACTGGAGAAGGTGGGAGGCTCCTGCCCCCCAGCGGCCACGGGAGCCTCCTGCGCCTCGGGCTGGATCAGCTCAGTGAGGGGGAGAGGGGGAGGGGGGGGGGGGGGGGTTCCTTGGAGCCTGGAACATGGCCAAGGCGTCCTCCCCGAGGCCCCGGGGCCCGCATCGACCTCTGTCTCGGGTTCCCTCTGCCATCCCCGTACCCCCCATAAGCCAAGCCTTGGGCATTTCCAGATCCACTAGCCAGAAGTCCAAGGAGGTTTTGCAACGCCCTTTCAGGGCTCCCCTGGGCCCCACTGCCCAGCCCAGCCTGCAGTCCCCTCTGTGGCAGGAGGGAACGGCCCAGCTCGCGGGCATAATTGGACCGCATGCATTATTCATCCCGCGCCGCCCGCCTCCGAGGCAGCCGCGTGCCGTCTAATTTCTGCATAATGACTTTACTAATCCCCGATCAATTAATGGAAAATGAAATTTAAATGATAATGAAAACCCCAGAGAGAAAAGAAATTAAGTCTTCTTCTCTCGGGTGACAGAAAGCTAAGCAATAGGGTGTTCCTCAGGCTGGGAGCAGCCGCCCGCCTCCTTCCCTGGGTGCCCGCGGCAGCTCAGAAAGTTGGCCCGTCGGGGGCCCCAGTGACAGTCGAGTCGCCTAGGCGGCGACCACTGCGTGGGCTTGGCCCATCTTGCTGCAACCTGGCTGTCCTCCGGGCGAGCCCTGCGCTAGAGAGGAGCCGGGAGACCTCGCAGCCAGCTCCGAATGGAGGCAAGCCTGCCGGCAGGTCACGCAAAGCGCCCAGAACTTGGGGTCCCCCTGCGACCTGGCCTCTGACTCTAAGTAATAGCATTACTTAGCAGCGATCGTTCTCTTAACAAGGCTCAATGGCTTGTTTGGACTTCACTTAGAGGAGCCTGAGACAATAAGGTCCTGGACACAGGATTCAGTGAATTCAGTGATGGAGGACGCTGGTCTCACCAGCCTGAGCAGGCTAATTTCTCTTTTTTTTCCCCCCTTAAGGAGTTGGGGTTAAGTGACTTACCCAGAGTAACACAGCTAGTGTCAAGTGTCTGAGGCTGGATTTGAGCTCAGATCCTCCTGACTCCAGGGCCAGTGCTCTGTCCACTGCGCCATCTAGCTATACCTAACATTCTCTGCTAAGCTCATTTTCAGTTGTGTATGACTCTTCCTGAGCCCATTTCGGGTTTTCTTAGAAAGACACTGGAGTGGTTTGCCATTGCCTTCTCTAGCTCATTTTATAGATGAGGAACTGAGGGAAGCAGGGTTAAGTGACTTGCCCAGGGTCACACGGTTAGTAAGTGTCTGAGGCCTGATTTGAACTCAGGAAGACGAGTCTTCCTGACTCCAGGCCCAGCGATCCACCCACTTCACCACCTAGTTGCCCTAGGATATGATCGAGGCACACCCAGTCTCCAGTGATCTCTCAATCACCAAACCTAACGACCTTTTTCCAGTCCTTACCCGTCCAGGCCCCGCTGCAGCCTCTCCCGGATACCGGCTTCTCTCACGGTCCTCCTCCTACCTCGCTGACCACTCCTTCTCGGTCTTCTTAGCTGGATCTTCATCCTGACCTTTCCACTAAACGGTGGAGTCCTACGATGCTCGGACTCGTGGGTTCTCTCTCTTCTCCCTCGATTCTGTTTGTCCCGTGGCTTCCCTCATCACGCCTGGTCTACAGTGGGCCTGGGGCTCTCTCCTGAGCTGCAGTCCGGAGTCACCAAGTGCCTCTCGGGCGTGTCGGCCTGAAGACCTTGCTCCACTTTCAGACCTGGCACAGCCAACACTCACATCGCTGTGTTTCTTCCTCTTCCCACCTTCACTACTACTTTCCAAGGCCACGGCCATCAGTGGTTCGGCTCTTCACAAGCCTCCCACTTCCGTCAATTCATGATTCTGGTCCTTTTTGCTCCAGGACGTGTCCCCTGCCCATCCCCCTCTCTTTACTCACCGGGTCTCCACTACCCTCCCCCACCACCCCTGCCTCAAGTCTCTCCCCACCCCAGTCCAGCTGAATGGAGATTCAGCCGCCAAGCAGATCTTCCTAAAGGGCGCGTCTCACCAGGTCATGCACGCCCTAGACACACGCACTGAGCAAACTCCAGGGGCTTCCTATCACCCCAGGACCGACCACAAAAAGATGCTGGCATCGACGACTCTCCACCAGGCCTTCCAGGCTTCTAGCGCTTCTTTCTGCGCCAGCCTTCGACCCTCCCAGCCGCGCCTTCCCGGCCCTGCGCCTCAGTACCGGGAAAGTTCGCGCTGTCGGTTCCCCGCTTCTCTCCCGCCCTCCCCGCTCCCTCCCCTGCCCCTCTGAGAGGACTTCCCGCTTTCACTGTCCTTGACTCCTACTGCATGGCATGTTGTCTCCCTCATGAGCTCCTGGACAGTATGGACTGGAATAACAGTCATAACCAGATGTCATAAAGCACTGACTATGTGCCAGGCACTTTCTGCACATTCTATCTGATCTTCACAACACCCCTGGGAGTTGGATACTACTATTAGCCCCATTTTACAGTTTAAGAAAACCAAGGCAGAAGTTAGCTAGTAAGTGTCTAAGCCTAGATTGGAACTCAGGTTTTCCTGCCTCCAGACACAGCTCTGTGCCCACCCTTTGATTTTCTTTGTATCCCCAGACCCTCCCATAGTGCCTGGCACAGACTGGCATTAAATCAATGCTGGGTGACTGGTTGAGCCTTGCCGCCCAATCGGCAATTGGGCCTGGGTATATCAGAACCAGTCCCCTCCTCTCAAGGCACTTGCAGACTCCTGAGATGGGATTTCCCCCCCCCACCCCCATCACACAAAGTATAAACATGGTAAATGCAAGGTAACATGGGGGAGGGGGCACTGGGAGCTGAGGGGTCCAGGGAAGGCTTCATGGAAGAGGGGAGGCATTCCAAGAGGGGGTGGGATGTGGAAGTGAACTCTAGGCATGGGGTCCAGTCACTGCAAAGGCAGCGAGATGAGACCTGGACTGACAGGGGTGGACAATGGCCAGTTAGCCCGGGGTGAAAAGACTGCCAAGGGGAGGCTGGAGAGATAGCTTGAACCCAGGCTGTGGGAGCCTTGATATGCCCAACAGAGGGGTAACATCCCAGCCAGTGTAGCTGATTGAGCAGAGCAATGTCCTAGCCAGGCCTCTGCATTAATTAGGAAGACCACTTTGGCAGCAGAATGGAGGATGGAGTAGAGAGGGGAGAGCCTGGGTCAGTCACTGCACCTCAGTCTGCCTCTGTTTCCCCACCTATGAAGTGGGGGTTAATAATAGGCATGTTGTGAGGATCCAATGTAAGTGCCTGGCACATAGTGGGTTCCCTATGAATGAGCACTATTACGATTCCTGCTGAGGAAGGAAGGGGACCAGTAGGCTGAGATGGAGGGGTCTGCACCCCGGGCGGGCTGTGGCAGCTTACTCCTTTGCCTCACCTTGTCACTTTGACATCTCCACCTTCTGCCTCCCTTGCTTCCCTCACGTTCCAGCCCAAATCTTACCTTCTCCAGGAAGCCTTCTGAGATCACCCTTCATGCCAGAGTCACCCTCTGCTGCCACCCTCCAATTTCTCCTGTCTGATTGGGGCCCATCTTGTGATTTCTCCCTGTGTTGGACCTGGAGCTCCTGGAGGTCAGGGACCGTTTTTCACCTTTTTTTGTATCCTTGGCTTCTAGCCCAGTGCCTGGCACGTAGTAGGTGCTTAATCAATGCCTGGTGACTGACCATATGTTGACCTTTGCCTTGTCTCCCCTCTGGGTACCCACACCTCCCATAACTGGGATCACTCTGCCCCTGTGTTAGGTTGGGGACAAACTGCCCATAACCCTAAGGGTCAGAACAAAGCTGTCCGAGCTGGTCAGGCTGCATTCCATGGTGGTGCTCCCCAGTGGTTCTGCTCCACTAGCCTCTGGCTTGTCCACAGTAGAGCCTGCAGACTTAGGCCACAGCTGTTGGCTGGATTCCTTTACTGTGCCTTTGTTATTTTTCATTTCCCCCACAGGCTGCAAGTTCACCCTAAGTGACAAGAGTAATCCACTGAGACTGTAGAATAATTAAGATTTTAAAAGTTAAATCGGAAGCCCTGTACATGAATCCCATCCCCTCCCCCTCCCCATCTAGGCCGTTTCTGAGCCCACCTGAGCCCTGGCCTCCTCTGGGCCCCTCCTCCTGCTGCTGCTTTGAAAGCCTGGACATCTGGCCCATGGGGATGGACCGAGTCTCCAAGTGGTCCCAGGGAAGGCCTGGGGTGAGATCTACACTGCCCTGTGGGCAGC